GCTGGAGAATGCTGGTTGGCAGTCTATTCTTTATTGAGAGTAACAGGCGTGAGTATTTATATCCAGTTTGTGTTGAATAGATGAAAGGAAAACTATAAGAAAAATATACTGGATACCTCATATATATATAGTGAAGATTGAAAAGCAAAGTCACTTACACATATCCAATGTCATAACCACCATTTTGATGACTTAAACATTAAGGTCAAATGTTTTAAAACAAAACAGATTAACAAACAAATATTTAGGTCATTAGTGTGCCAACTTTCCTCTTCATTGGGACTGGATTTATTGAGTTCATTTGTAAATTGTTTCAAAAATTCATGGGTTAATGGTAGAGGGTTATTATTATTATTATTATTATTATCAGTATTTGTATAATTTAGAAAATCATTTCTGATCTAGGAAGTATTGAACAGCTGTTTTAGTCCCAGTACAAGACTTGTCTTATGGTCACCTCATTATGTAACTTATTACATTTAAAGATCAGTGTAGGATTGTGGAGCTTGTCAAGCTTTTTTTCTTTTTTTTTGATGGTAGATATTAACACCGTTCGTTGTTGGCTCAGTGGTCTAGAGGTAAAGCGTTCACTCACGAGACCCAAAGCCTTGGGTTCGAATTCCACAAGCCGGATCGTGGATGACCACTGTTGAGGAGTGACATGCTAGGGTGAAACGGCCGTCTGGTACTTCCGCTTTTCCAATAGTGGTCTGAAATCGATCGATTCATTCTCTTAAACAAGAAATTCAAAGATGTCTACTAACGATTTACACTAATCATCACTATTGCTATTATATGGAATTTTACGATTTAGTGGAAAGATTACAAACATTTCACAGTTGTTTCTTTACCTTTCTTGTAAAGAAAGGATCAATGTTTAAGTATTTCAGTGCAGTTATACTTGTACTTCCATCTCATAGTTATGTTGTTGACTTTTAAAGCTATAGGTATTTCATTCTAGTCTCAGGTAGAATATCCTAGTTACTAATCAAATCAATAATCTTAATATACAAACCGCTCCACATCTAACCAAAATATATTTCATTTAATACTTCCTAGTTTCATGAATACAAAATAATTACTAATCAAATACTGTGAAGAAACCAATGAAATATGTTCCTTTTTGATCTCATTGATCATTCCATTGATCGACAGTACCTATCAACAGCTAACTATAACCAGCTCAGTGGTGTTGAGGTTAAGCACTCGCGCGCTCAAGTTCAAACGAGTCTGCTGTCAAATAGTAACTCACTGATGACACTGGTGAATGTGTTTCTCAATTTCGTGGATTAGTTGAAACTTGATATTAACACGATTGGATGCCGGCTGGCTCAGTGTTGTAGAGATTAAGCGTTCGCGCGTGAGACTGATAGGTCCCTAGTTCAAATCTCGCGAGGAGAGGTCGTGAATGCACACTGCTAAGGAGTCTCATGCTAGGACGAAACGGCCATCCAGTGCTTCTAGGTGTTTCATGGTGGTCTAGCTTCAAGTGACTCATAATCTCAACTATTGAAATTACTACAATAGCCACAAAAACTCCTACGAAATCTATCTATAAGATAAACAAATTACACAAAATTTCTACAACAATGAAGATCTTGAATTTCTAAATTGTTATTTTTTGTTTTGCAATTCAATCAAATTTCATTATGGTTTACTTCTTCATATCACTCCTCCACTAACATCACTACTCATTCAATCAAGTAAACAGTTAAATACTTTCTAGATATACATTACATAATTTACCCTCTATTGATATGCACTTTTTTACGTTTTGTTTTAGCCTACTGAATTGAAGAATGAAGGATCATTGTTATTACTGATTACTTATTAATTCAATTGATTAGGGGAAAACAGAACAACAACAACAACAACTAACCTATAGTACAAAGTAGACTAGACAAGTCATATGACATCTTGAATTTACTTAATAAATTAAATGGGATATATAAGTAGATTATATGTAAATTATTTCACTAGTTAAAATCATGAGTCAATTGAGGCTAGACCACCATGAAAAACCTAGAAGCACTGGATGGCCGTTTCGTCCTAGCATGAGACTCCTTAGCAGTGTGCATTCACGACCTCTCCTCGCGAGATTTGAACTAGGGACCTATCAGTCTCACGCGCGAACGCTTAACCACTAGACCACTAAGCCGGATATAGTTAGTTGTTGATAGGTACTGTCAATCAATGGAATGATCAATGAGATCAAAAAGGAACATATTTCATTGGTTTCTTCACAGTATTTGATAAGTAATTATTTTGTATTCATGAAACTAGGAAGTATTAAATGAAATATATTTTGGTTAGATGTGGAGCGGTTTGTATATTTAGATTATTGATTTGATTAGTAACTAGGATATTCTACCTGAGACTAGAATTTAATCAAGATCACACACACACACATACTTACGCACGCACGCGCGCGCGCACGTACGTACACACACACATTCATATATACTTTCGATGAGATTAGAATTTATTTGTATCTATGTAAATGTACATAAATTTTAAAAAAGTTCTTCAACAATACAGCAGATGCATCAAGTTAATGAGTCCCATGTAGGACGAAACTTGAGTCCTGAATTCTGCTACTAAGCATCGTCTATCATTGAATGAATTTCAGTGAATTTCACAATACAATACTTAATTCCTTTAGGGGATGGTTATTAGTAGTATATTATATTGCACAATAAATTATATTGTTAGGTAGATAGTGTAATTGTAGGTAGCTGAATAAGACAAAATTGATGTGAACAAACTTACTATTAGGCATGTAAAGTATCTTGATAATAGTTTCATTCGATGTTACAGTATAGAATTGATCAAAACTTTTAATCAAGATCATTTCAATATCAAATTTACAATGAATAGGATCTATTTACAGTAAGTATTTGTAAAAGAAGATACTTACAATCGGACAAAACTGGACAAAATTTTCAAACTTCTATCCACTAACTTATCAATATGATGAAATCAAGTCGTTGAAAAGGAGGAATTGGGAAGTAGATTTAAGTAGTATACTTTACACTGCTAAAATATTTTACATGATGTTCAATACAAGAAATCATACTAAATACATATCATAATGAACTGCATATATCGATTTACAAGTGAAAATATGAATGAATAGGTGAGTATCTATGGAATTTTTCAACTACAAACCTCATAAACTTTATTTAGTCAGTCAATAAGCTACGACGTAGGACCAGGCACATATATGCATCGGTCCAAGTTGCCGTGCCACATCAGAACGGCAAGAGAAACACCGGATTCATAGTAGTTAAGTCAATAAAGATAATATATAAAAGAAAAATTGCATATAAGGATATAGTACAAGAAGAAAGAATTGAAAATAAAGGTATAAAGTGATTTTAATCTCATAGTTTAAGGGAAAACAAAGAGTGTATACACCACCTACGCCATTGCGATCGATTCTGAAACAAGTCTCCAACCATTGATTACAATAGTCACGCGGACCCCAACCAAGTTACCTGCAAATCAGATCATAAACTATCACAGTTTATTGATTCTTATTTTGATCAACTTTGAAATGATGAATATCTATTTGTTTTTATGTTTGATACTGAAATTGATAAGAACGAATTCACTTACATGCATACATGCACACATACATACTTATTACATACAAACATGGACACATAGATATGGACATATATAATGATGATTAATCTCAATGGTTGAGATCATGAGTCAATTGAAGCTAGATCATCATGGAAAATCTGGAAGCACTGGACGGCCAACTCGTCATGTTATGGGGCTCCTCAGCAGTGCGCATCCACGACTTCACCTCGCAAAACTTGAACCTAGGACCTATCAGTCTCGCACACAAGAGCTTAGCTATTAGACCACTGAGCCGGCCGGCATCCAACGGCGTTAATATTTAGTTTCAACTAATCCACGAAATTGAGTGACACATCGGATCCTGCGAGGAGGGGTCATGGATGCGCTCTGATGAGGAGTCCTACAATAGGAGGAAACGGTCGTCCAGTACTATCAGGTTTTCCATGATGGTCTAGATTCAATGGACTCATGATCTCAAATATTGAAATTACCACGATCTTCACAAAACTCCTTCTGATGATAATTAATCTGTTTTTGTATTATTCAGGTGGAAGTTTATTAAATGAGAAGTGAAAATTAATAAATCTTTTATATCATCATGATTATTTCAAATTTAGTACTCAAAGGTAAGTCTAGAAAGACAGTGAAATTTTTTACTGAAATCATCTAACATATAAGTTCACAATTTCAACAGAAATAATCTACTTAGATAAGATGAATTGAGGCGGTGAAGAAGATTTGTAACTCAGGTGGATGATTTTGATGGAGTTTAGTTCACTGAACTGGATGATTTGTTTGTGGAGCTTTCTTTGTTCTTCTGAACGAAATCATCAGCACAAACTTCAGGTAGAAGTGAAGTGTTCGAATTACTCGAATGATAAAAGCTCCATGACTAAATCATCCAGTTCAAAGAGCAAAACTCCATGAAAATGATGTGTAGTTAATAGAAAAATTCAGGAAACAACCGGATTGGTCGGCATCTAAATGTTAATACTCTCATTGAAACTCAATACTGTACTCTTTATACATATACTAATAATAAATTCAATCGTGAATATAAAAGAAAAACGGGATGAAAACAATTCTTGTCACATATTGAACTCAAGGAATCAATTATGAACTACATTAACAATTGTATTGTTCTAGTTAATTAGACCACAATTGTGATTTGTTAACGATCTGGTTTTGATTCTTGACATGATCATGTATGAATAAGGTCTAAGCTTTATTAAACTCACTATTTCCATTAAAATAACATTGACCATGTCAACCATTGAAACATGATACGTATACAGCAATGAATATATATATACATATATATATATATATATATATATATATATATATATATATATATATATATATATATATATATACATATATATGCTTTTAAATATTACAATCAGACTCACCGTACAATATTATAGTCTACACAATCTAAATCTTCCGCTAATGGTAAAGGTAGCCTGGATCCAACATGTATTCCTTCTGAAACATGGATTGTATATTGAGGATTTGGAAATTTTGGTGCATTATCATTGATATCAATTAGTTTTATGTTAATTGTAAAAAATTTTGAACGTGAACTACTACTTACAACATCAGCAATATTACCATTACTACTAATACTACCTATACTACTAATATCAGCGATTGCAGTATCAGTAATAATGGATGATCCATGATTAATTCCTTTGTCGACTGAATGTTTAGAAATGGTGCTACTACTACTATTAATACTGTTAGTAGTAGTAGTAGCAACCGTATCATCCTTACCAATTCTTGTCTGTACAAGTATATTCAATGGGAAAATACATTCCTTTCGACGATTTATACAACATGTTCTTAATGAATCCGGTATAGACGAGGTATCAGTCATTACCATTGCTTGATTACATAATTCTTCACGATCAATATGTTGACTTGTATACAATGTATAATTATTTGGATTAATATTGAAATATTTTGCCATAGGATTTGCTGTTGTAATAATTTTCATATTAAGGAATAATTTCTCGAAATTTTTTGTTTGAATCATTGCTATACTCGATAATGATGATGATGATGAGGAGGAGGATGAGGATGAGGATGATAATGATGATAATAATTGGCATGTATTTCCATTAGTTTCATCAAGTAAATTATATTGAGCTGGTGTTTCATCATAGACTATACAATTATAACTAAGTTGAATTAATTCTGTACCTAGAATTGGTGTTATTGCTGACGGTGATGAAGATGATGATGATGACGATGACGACGACGACGACGACAATATTTGTGTGTAACGTGGTAAACGATGAATCAAATCCATCTGTGTTTCCATATTGAAAATGTTTCCATCAGAATTAAATAATAAATTATGCTTATTATTATTATTATTGTTACTACTATTACTTGTTGCCATGGTGACATGATTTGCTTGTATCATTTTGAAAATCCATATATTCAATAAGAAAATCATGAATTGACATAAAATATATAAAAAATTATTTATTTGTAAATAAAACTTGAAATGAATTAATAACATAATTAATCAATGAAAATAAGAATAATAATTCTCATTTCAAAAAAATAAATAAATAAATAAATAATTTCCCTTGGAAACTGGATCAGTTTAATTGAGCGGTATTTTCATTTTATTTGTAATTATATGATACAGTGCAAATGATTTTGTATATGTGTCTGCATGTGTTGGTGTGTGTGTGTGTAGGTATGTTTGTAGGTGTGTGTGTGTGTGTAGGCGTGTAAGTGTGTGTGTGTGTGTGTGTACACCAGACAGATGTAGGGTAAATGTAACATTTTTCCCAATTTAACAATGTCGTTTTAGTGAATAATAAATAAATAATTCAATGAATGTACTACTAGTAACCATGTCTATCTGTAGTGTGTATCCATGTATAAGTATCCAAGTAGAATGAAGTAAAACAATTTTGTTTGTATAATGATAATTGACTTTGTCTATAGAATTGTTATATCAATAGAGATAATATTATTAAATGTCTAACTGTCATACATATTCATCGCCATCATCGTCAGCGGCATAATCATCATCATCATCGTCATCATCATTATCAATATCATCGACATAACTGATTTTTATTTTGTTTATTTTATTTGTCTAATATACTCTAGTGGTAGATAGATAGATAGATATAGATATGTCGTCAACTTGGTGGTATATACAATCTGGTAGATGAAACAGTTGACTTTTCGCTCCATTTACTACAATTTATCCTTCTTGTCATACATATATATGTATTAACCATGATGGTAGACAGGTACGTATCCTTATATTACACACACACACACAGAGACCTCTAAACGAATGAACCTTCAGTTAAATCCCTATTTGCTTGTATGTGTACATATCTATAAATGTAGATGTACGTGACATGGATTAACCCATTAGTAGTATTTGCATATTCACACAATACACAAATACAATCATGATTGTGACATTTTTCATTGGATATTTCATAAGTTACATTGGTCTAATGAATTTTAAATCTAAATGAATTTCAAGTTTAGAAATGGGAATAAAAAGATTAGGGTTATACATGATGGGTAAACTGTACAGTTTAGTAGAAAGAAAGAAAAAACAATGACTTCATATTCATGAAATTACAGAAGAGTTGAATAGAATAAAACAGTTGTCTTATGTGAAAATAGGACGAAACGCTTGTCATATTGGATTGCACTGTTGGTCACTATCCATCTTTGTATATAGAAGCTTATGACTTAAGGCAATATTAAGACAATTCACAGAGGATGTACATATACTATCATGAGATCGATCAATTGTAGTCCTAAATAACAATGGGAAGATACAAGTAAAATCAACATCAAGTGAAAATCAATTCTATTTGTAAACTATGTTAACAAGTTTGACGAAATGATTCACATAATGATTGGTAATTACGTTCTAGTATCGAACTATTCAACAGTGCATATTCATGATTGTACAAGCGGATATAGAACTCAAGACCTGAGCCAGTATTAAAAAGCATTACAGATTAACTTTATTCAATATATGATTTTATGTAACTATTCATCTATTGCATGTGACGGGTAACTGTCTTGCACCCGACATGGATTTAACTTTATTCATCACAGCTTCCCGCTTATATTTGTTAGGCAGTTTAATGACTATCTGAAGTCAATAGCTCAATGAATAAAGAGTCGAGTATTTTAAAGCATCGTTTACTTGGTTAGAGTATAAGTGTTCACATGAAGATTGGTGTGAGACTCTAATTTATGAACGAGATAATCAGAAGCGTCTGAGACATTTCAAGGTCACGGCGCCAACTTCAGTGCTTATTGCTAGCATACGATCGGTTCATAGGTAATTTTGTACAAAACGTGGTAATTGAGAGGCTGTAACAAATAAAACAGCGAGACTATAATTTGTGCACGAATCAATCAGGTATAAGATAATAGATCTCGGATTTTAACGCAAAAGCTTTTCATCCTTTGGGTTAAATAAACTCCCGACATTATAGTTGATGTCAGTTCGTGATGAAAACCCCATATATGATTCCTAACTAAGGCAAATTACGACAATTATTGCGAACTGGATAAAAAAAAGCACCAGTAACACTGGCTGCAGCCAGGTACTACAATATATACGGATGTTTGGAGAGCGTACAGAGTTCTACATAGGCTTGGTTATGTGCATCGTGTCGTTATTCACAAGTGGTATTTTGTGTACTCAACAACCGGAGAGCACACAAACAATATTGAAGCTATGTGGTCAAGACTGAGAGTTTCTGAGACTTTATCATGGCTCCAGAGGCCGACTATACCGTAGCCGTATGGATGATTTCTTCTACTGCATGCATAACGATTTTAGAACCTCTGAACCTCTTTTTAACCTTGACAAGTTTTTGAACCACGTATAAGAAGTGCATCCATTTTATTTCTTTGGTTTTGTATAACATCTTTTTACTCTATACCTACTGTTTGCTGATTGGTTAATATTTCCCAAGGTCACTTGGGGTTCGTTCTATGGGCGTCCACAAATTATAGTCTTGCCAAGATTGAGGTTGCGAGACCCTATCACTTTTACTGATGAGTTTTCAGTAGGATGAAACATTCATCATGAGTTTCATTATTACTCTCTCAGAAACTATTTTTAGTAAATTTTATTAAAATTTTAAAAAACAGGTTTATGATTGAAATTCATCTAATTTTTTGTACACATAGTGATAAGTGAGGATCATTTAGAATGGTGGATAATTGCATTCCATTGATTACACTTCTAATAAAACAATTTTGTATAGACTATTAATTAACTTTCATTAAGATTATGTAATAGATTATTTGGAAAAGATGAAGAAAAACAACAACATAACTTCAGTGTGATTTTGAAATCTTTCAATTATTTTTCATCATTAACAATGGTGAGTGTGTGTGTGTGTTTGAATTTGGGTAATTTGTGTAAATATATGCCAAGATAAATGGAATTATCAGTCTTGAGTTGTCGAGATTATTATGTTATTAGTAACTAGTTTCGTGAAGGAATTTTCAGATTTCTGGTGAGAAGCCATCACAAGTGGGACGAATCCATGTCTGGAAGAGATAGGTTTCTGTCTCAGACGATGGGAGATAGTCAGGCGATTACGTGCATTGGTTGGTGCTAGACATTAACACCGTTCGATGTCGGCCGGCTCAGTTTTCCAGAAGCTAAGCGTTCGCACACAAAACCGAAGGTTCTGGGTTCGAATCCCGTGAGCTGGATCGTGGGTGCGCACTACTGAGGAGTCCCATTGTAAGACAATTGTGGTCTAACATCAATCGGTTCATGATCTCAATCATGAATGGAATTCTGTAAAATAAACTGAATTATTACACATGATTTTATCGTTATCGGAACAGGAAACTTTTAGAGACCGATAACATATTATCTGTTGCGAATGATAGATTTTATTCCATGTCTTCCGCTCATAATCCTGAAATAAACCTAATGAACTCGAACTGTTTTCAGGACTGACTAACTTTAACATCTATTTTCTACTGCAGAAAGACAGATCGACGTGAACATGTTAGTTATGTTCAATAAACTATCTCTAAACGTTAATATGGTCAGCAGAACAATATTAAATCCATCGCTTTTAGTATTACGACTATAAAGTCGATCTGCTTGTATACAGCTATGGGCACATTTGACCATTCATTCAGCATAGCAGCTACGTTACCTGGATAAATTATTCGGTTTTCATTAATAAATTTTTATAACCAATCTGTCTTTTAATTACATCATTATTACCACAACAATGTAAAGATGTGAGCAGTGGAGTCCACTCAGTACCTAGTAGAAACAGTTATTCAACACAGACAATGAATGAAGGGTTGCACAAGAGAACAGATCGATTCAAGTTAGACATTAATACCGTTGAATGACAACTCAGTAGTCTAAAGGTTGAGCGTTCATACACGAAACCGAAGGTCCCGGGTTCAAGCCCCTCTTGCAGGAGCTTGGATGAGCATTGCTGAAGAGTCGCGTACTAAGACAAAACAGCCGTCCATTGATTCCAGGTTTTCAATGGTAGCCCAGCTTAGATCGACTCATAATTTTAACTATTATTATTATTAAATAAAGATGGATAATGGCTAGCTGTGAAATCCAAGGAGCACGTTTCGTACTATTTGGGACTCATCAGCTAGATGTACCTGAATCTCAGAGTTGATGTTCACCCTAAGACTCGAACCCAGTACCGCTCGCTCCAAACGCCATCACGTTATCCACTTAGCTACTGAGTTCTCATAACCACCTCCTTGTGTAATGGGGTGAAGTTTAAATTCATTTGATGTTGTTTTACTTGTATCTTCCTATTGTTATTTAGGAGTGCGATGGCATTTGAAGCGAACGGTACGCAGAGTGAACATCAAGTCTAAGATGAAGGTGTATTCAGCTGACGAGTTCCAGGATAGGAAGAAACGCACATCAAACTGGATTCCACTGCTAGCCACTATCCATCATTGTTTATAAAAGCTTATGACTTGAGACTATATTGAGGCAATCCGCACAGGACGCATATATACCATCATGAGACTGATTAATTACAGTCTTAAATAATAATGGAAGATCCATAAAAAGCAATACCAAATGAATTTATTATAATAATTATTATCACTCTTTCGATGATCACATTAAGTGAATGATTACATTCCTTACTTACTAACTTACGCCTGTTACTCCTCATTGAGGAGCATAAGCCGCTCACCAGCATTCTCCATCCAACCCTGTCTTGGGCAATCCTTTCCAGTTCTTTCCAGTTGTTATTCATCCTTTTCATATCTGCTTCTATTTCACAACGTAATGTGTTCTTTGACCTTCCTCTTTTCCGCTTCCCTTCAGGATTCCAAGTTAGGGCTTGTCTCGTGATGCAGTTTGACGATTTCCATAATGTATGTCCTATCCATTTCCATCGTCTTTTCTTAATTTCTTCTTCAGCTGAAAGCTGTTTGGTTCTCTCCCATAGAATACATTCCACATACTGTGAATACTTTAAATCGTATATCAGTTTACGTAAATCTAATTTGTTCCCTTATTTTTCACAAAAAAAGAGAAGAAAAAGACTGATAAACTGTATTCATATACATATTTTTCATATGTATCCTTTAGATAAACAGATGTTTTATTCTTCTTTTTTTATATTTTTCTCTCTTTTTTTCTTTTTTAGAAAACTGAAATAAATTACCCATCCACACACACCCCCACACCCACATACACAAAAAGGGGGGGGGAAACACTTTTACAGAAAAAAAAATAAACAAGAGGAAAAATTAATTTTCAACTATCAACAGGTATGATTATTTTAGATAAAAATTAGGAAATTTTTGAAAGGGGTGATCATCTCATTATCATATATCCTAGTTACAATATAGTTAATGAATACTTTCATAAGATTAGTGAAATGTTATTGAGTTCTAGTGAAATCAATTAGTAGTTTGATCGATCCCTTTCAAGGTTAAGGACAACTTAGCGCGTATCAGTTAATTATATGCTATGGATTGATTTATGCAATAATATATTTTTGTAATAACGTCATTTGTATTATACGGAGTAATTCACGTCAGGTGCTGACTGTGAATTATGAAGTCCTGTGAAGTTCTCGTGTGACAATCACAGAGGAATCAGTTTGACTAATATAGTGTCTAAAATATTAGCTTCAATAATACTTCGACGCCTAACTAAAGCTCGT